CATATAAGAGTTTATGAATAGAAAATCAAAATTAAAAATTATGTAATATTTAATATTTATATGATTTAACTATTTAGTTAAAAAAAAACTTTGATACTTGTATTTTCTGTAAAAGAATTATTTTCTGAAACTTCAAAGAAAACTTAAATTCTAACCCATTAACCAAATCTCAAAAAAAAGAAACCCAAGTCAACCTCCTTTACTCCCTACTTTTAATAAGAACGCTCATTTTACCACAACCAATGATGCAACACCAAAAGACCACCAGAAATATATTATACATCTAAATTCTCTAGGTATTTGAATTTTTATTTTTGAATGTTATGAATCATAATAATAACAATAATAAATCTACATATTCGTACAGTTCTTATTACCTTTTAATGACATATATAAATAAAAATAATGAAATTATAAAAAAAACCAAAATGAATCGTAAGAAACTTTTACAAAAAGTATTGATTTTGGTGCAGTTTTGGTTTTTAAAATAATCTAAATAAGAGTTTCAGTAAAGTTCCAGTTACGAATATTCAAAGGATTCTGGTTCTAAAATCAGTTATTTTCAGTATGGTTCCATTCCTTGGTATGTACACATAAAACACTTTAACCAACAAGTTTAATAGTAAATAAATTTCTATTATTCTAAACATAAATAATAAAATACTTAATATTTTTATAAAATAAATAAATAAAATAATATAATTTACATAAAAAATGTTTTTTTACTTCCAATACTAGTCTGAACATAAAACAATATTTTTTTAAAAAAAAAAATAAAGAATATATTTTATAATTCAACCATGCAATTGTAAATAATAAAAGTTTAGTTTTTTATTTTGATATTTTTCAGACCATACATAAGATTTTTGTATATCACTATATTCAGATAACATAACAAGTTACCATTATATTAGTCATGATTTTTTAGAATTATAGAAAAATATTACTTAGTTAAACATTTCTCAATAACCAAACAACAGGTAAGTATGTCTTTTTTCAGTTCTAATTACTATTACATAATCCAATGAAGGATCATTTTCGTAAAATTTCTATAGAAAATATTAATATTTTACTTATAAAAATAAAAGTGAAGTAAAAATTTTAATAAAATAAGAACATATAAAAAATGTATAAAAATCAATAAATATGTATTTGTATTATGAAAATATTGAAAAAAATATTTTAATGATAAAGTAAAATAAATTATAAAATTGAATAACCTTGTATAAATAACTGATAAATATTTTAATAACTTACCCATGAGTAGCAAAATTAGTGTAAGCCTTCATAAATAAATGACTCATATTTCGATCACTATCTGTCCATTTTCTTTTATCCATATTTGATAAACGAGGAAAGAATTCTAAAAAGAAAGTTTTTTTAAAAAATATAGTAAAACATTTAATTAATAGAAATAAAACTTACCACTATCCATAAAAGGAGCACCAGTCAAAAAAAAGTACTCTGTATCATGCGAGTACAATCTCCAATCTGGAACTGGAATACTAGAAACAGTGGTATTTAAAACATACAAATAAACAGGTACATTTTCAGCCACAAGTAATTTAGCTATTTGATCATGAGGAGCAACAAATAAGAAATCTGACAACATCTAAATAAAAAAAAAAAAAATTGATTTTAAAAGTTTTATCAATTGGATAAAAGATTTAAATATATTACATTTATATACTGAGTCCTTATTGAATCTTGATTAAGTGGATCAGGCCAATATGTATACAAATATTTTATTGCTTGAAAAACTCCAGAAGGATTAAGTGTATAATTATATTGAAGAACTAATTCTTTAATTTGTTTGTTAAATAACTCTTCAGTTACTGAGTAAGTTTTATTATTGTCTGTTAACAAAAATTGTATTGAAATAAATTACTAATTATTAAAATAAGAATTCATTTAACATTAATGTAACTTATTATCTTACTCAAAATATATGCTGCTTCTTGAGTAGTAACACCACTTAAGTATCTAAGATCTTTGTTAAAATGTCTTAAATGAATTGCATTTTCTACTGATTCATTAATGAAATGCCAATCTGATTGTTGCCAACCATCATACCAATCACTTTTAGGCACCAAAAACTCACTGTCAATTATTGGTCCCCAAGCATTAAAACCAATTTTAGGCTAAATATTTATATTTAATTAACATTAAAATAATTTATTTTTGTATTTAATTTATTAATTAATTACCTTAAACTCTGCTCCGAGTTCCAAAAAACTCCTACCTCGTTTAAGACAGTCTACAATTTTCCATGAAGATTCAGTATTACAGCCAATATGCGCAGCATACACTTTAGTTGTATTTAAAGCTCGCCATCTATCTTTTATGAGTGCCCAATCCGCAAGAGCTGAACCACTCTAAAGTACAAATAAAATATTAAGTTTATAGTATCTATTTATTCAAGGACAAATGTTTAGACAATATTTATTCAACATAAATATTATTATATATATGTATAATAAATGAACATTATAAAGAACACAAACTAATATGGACATTAATACAATTGCGTACATTGCGATAAGGAAAACCAGTTTATAATATATTATAATACAGCAATATTTATATTGAACTCATATAATAGTTTTTAAAAATAAAAATGGATGAGACTCCACGTTGTGGGACAAATGGAGATGAATAAATTATATTTCAGTGTTGGTCTTTTAAACTTGAAACAATATACCTTCACTCACAAAAAAACGATTCTAAATAAAATAAGTCGGATAGATCACCTAATATTTTTAAAGATATAGTAGTAAAAAAATAATTTCTTAGTAAAAGTTAAAAGTAAGTTTGAACTATTAATGTTTTACAAAAAAAGGAATATTGGTATGTAAGTAAATAATATTTAAATTTTATTTCAAGGGATTGTCTTGATAACTAATTTTACTAATTCGATAATTCCCATCACTATATATTATCCAATATTTCGTTCAAAACATTTCCATTATTTTGATCAAATGACCTTCCGATTATGACAATATCTCGTATTTCAATTATTAATATTAGGATTGAATATTTCGAATGATTATTTCGAGACATCTCTCGTTTATAAAAATGTCTCGATTACTAATATTTCGATTATTGAAATCATTTAATTATGCCCGTCACTAGTGTCTTAACACTAACAATTACGATGATGCAGCAGCGTCGCACGTCAAAATAACGCACGTGTGTACCGAGCAAAAGAAACATGACATTTTCAAAATACTAAATAGATCAAAAAGGTAATCTTTTGATAATTATAACCAAATGTAGCAAAAAATGATATACTAATTCTGTGGAAATTTTTAGTTTTAATAGATATTATTTTTAGAGCTGCGATGATAAAAATGTTGTTTTGTCGAAAACCATATGCTCTACATAAGTAACATACTATACAACCGTATACATTTTTTCATTTTTCGTCAATTTTTTGTAATTATTTAGAAAACAGTTGAAAAATTCGTAAAACAGCCCCTGGGGCAGACTGACCTAGTGGCCTACTGTCATAGAAGACAGTGGGCCGCTTTCTTTGACTGGATTTTGGGGTCGGTGCCTTGTAAATGGTATGATTATATTGATACATAAATACAGTAATGCGACATTATAGGATTATACGAGACATAGGCGTCATTTGGAGTATAATTGTGAGGAACTGTTAGCTAGCATCTTGAATAATACTCCTATTTATATTAATTATTTGTTATTGCAAAATTAAACAATAATTTATCTCTTTAAATTGAATTATTGGTATCTCTAACAATAATAATTTCATAGTTTTTTAACATACAGAAATTCAACTACTGATAACATAATTTTTAAGTAGTCTGTGGTTCAAGCATATTAAAAATAAGAATGTGCCTGTGTTGATCAATGATTCAAAAAAAAGCATTGGATTTGACTCGATAAATCAAATACCACAGTTTCAAAACTTCTAATGAATGGTTAAAATGCTTCAAATAATGACATAAAATTGCTTTAAATCAATTTGGGGAGAATCGGCATCTACAGTCGTTAATGAGTGAAAATTAATTTAAGAACATTTAGTGACAACGACCCCTGTTAAGTCGATAAAATAATCAATAATACAGTGATTTCGCATTAATATTAATACTGTACATGTTTATCGGATCTAAATAATATAAAGATACAAACTTAAAGTTATGCTATTTACATTACAGTTGTGGTAATAATATGATTTTATTAAAATTAATTATTTTCTTATTATTTTCCTTTTCCCATGAAGATTTTGTCACCTAGGTTAAAAACCACTGCCATACACAATAATTTATTTATTACATTTATTTCAGTCTCAAATATAATAAGGAATAAACGAGGGAATAAGTAATAAAAATTAAGATCATTAAGTTATTATTTTAGATATATATAACATTTTATGATTAATACACATTTATATTAATCATAACAATATTATAGTGATTAAGAAAAAAACTAAAAGATTGATGTATTCTAAACTTCAGTGGTATAAGGGAAATTATCATGTTATCTTAATAGACAGGATGTAATGGTGTATATCTTATATGAAAGCAAAAAAATTAATATTTTTCTTACTTGAGCAATAACTTTAGATACCATGAAACTAGTTTTTGGATTAACCATTAATAGTCCAGCAGAAGCAGCACCAGCATCTGGCCCAAATAATGTAATAGATTTACGATCACCATTAAAATATTCAATATTATCATATACCCAACGTAAAGCCATTGCTTGGTCCATAAGTCCATAATTACCAGGTGAATTGTCATCACCAGTACTTAAAAATCCTACAAAATTATAAAAATATTAATAGTAAAAATAACAAGACTGTACACTCAATAAGTATGATTACCTAAGGCTCCTAAACGATAATTGATAGTTACAACTACAACATTATAAAATGCCGCCATCATATGCCCGTTAAAAGAATTTGATGAGCCATGAAAAAAATCACCACCATGTATATAAAACATAACTGGATATGGTTTAGCTGGTACATTATCTGTCTATTAAATATTAAATCAAATATTTTAAAAATCAAACATTTAAATAAGTCCATTAACAACTGTTAACTTCTCTGAGGGTGAGATAATGTCAAAAATCAAGCCGTCGGACCGGGAATCAAACCCGAATCTCTCGCTTGCTGGGCAATTGCTCTACCACTAAGCTACCCGACCGCATAGATCTAAAACGTTATCCTCCTCCCCCAGTTAACGGGAGTTTATACTACAGTTTATTTAAATAAAATGTTTAACTTACTGATGGCATAAATATATTTAAATACAAGCAATCTTCGTCAACTTTTGGTACACCTTTAGTAAAACCAGTGTATGTAGCTGGTTGTGGGCATGCAGGTCCAAAATCAACTGCTTGATATAACTGCCAACCTTTATGAGGTCGTGGTGGCTAAATAGTAATATATACTCAAATAAAGAATGATACACCATTTAATATGTATATAATATTGGTTATGAATTGTACCCGAAATCTGCCATCATTAATTGGAGATGCTGCATATGGTATACCAAGGAATACTGCGACTTCACCTTGTTTTCTTTCAACAGGTGTTTGAAAGGGTCTATATCCACTCTCTGGTAGAGGGTTATCAAATAAGAGCACTTTGAAACCTTGAACTTGACCATATTTTGTAGACACAAATACATCCCTATCGGATTGTTTTGAATCTGCTCTTTCTTTTCCTTGTAAATCAGGACGCCACTGACCTAAAACCCCAGGAAGTAATAATCGATCTTCACCCTGAAAATTCAATGACAAATTTTATTTATTAATTTTTTTTATTTTTATTTTATTCTTTAAAAAATTATAATGGGCCCCACTAAACATGTTCATTTAGTAGCCCAAAAGCTTACAAATGGTAATACATTTTAAGTTTAAAGCTATTTGTAGTCTTATATAATAGTAGAAAAATAGAAAATAAATATACATAAATTCACATTTATATGCTTAGGTATTTACAGTTTTTGAATATTTTTACAAGTGTACACATAACTAAACATATTTAAAAAGTACTCATTTGCATAAGAAACTAATTTTCCAAATGTGTTCAATTAATTTATTTGGCTCATATTTAAATTAAATAATGTTAATAATAGTGTAATCCCTTGAGGTACACCATATAATAATGAAATTTCCTGATTAAATTCATTCTGTATTAGAATATGTTGTTTTTTTAAATATAAATTCAAAAAAATGTTAAGCCATTTATTTAATACCGAGTTTGTTTTCAATTTGTAGTGATATTTGATGATCTATAGCAATGATTGAGTATAAGATTTTATTTATTATCGGATATATTTTAAAATTGTTGTGATATTAGTTTTTTTTATAAGTTTTTCAACATTATTAGCAATGTTAGATATTTTTGAGATTGGACGATAGTTTTCAATGTGAGTCTTGTTACTTTTTTATGAATTGTAATTATAACTAAAATTTTAAAGTTATCTGGTACAGTCGACATTGTAACAACTAAATTAAAAATGTATAATAATGGTTCACTGAGATAATGTATATTTAATTTGAGCATTTTTACTGTTATTCTGTCAAACCCAAAAGAATCATATTTTAGGGCATTCATCGCTTTTATATCTATACAATAAATAAAACTAAATTTAATAAACAAAATATCAGTAAAGTTTATACAGTTGTATCTGTACTATTAATAGTAGGTATAATTTATTTTATATTTATATTTTGTTTTTATAAATTAGATAAAGAAAAACAACGAATAAAACCTAATGAAGTAAAACGAAGGTCATGTTTCAGATAGATATACAGTACTTTTCCCTTTGATAGACATTTTCTCAATACTTACCAGATAGTTGTAGTTATTAGGTCGATATGACGGATTCCCAAAACGGTCAGGTTGATTATAAGGTGGCCGATTAGGGTAATTGTTCAGCTGACCATATTGGTTTAGTTGCGGATTGTAGTTGTTGCCCGCTGATTGCGGTGGCTTATAATCGTATTTATTTTGTGATATCGGATTGGTGTCGAGACCACCGTAAGTCTGATACCTGTAGTCCTGGCCATTAGAAATGACAACAGCCAAAAACACTATTAGGGCGGCAACGGACTGGGCGTGACGCTGAACAAGTAACATAACAAATTTCGGAGACAAAACCACCGGAAAAACTACAAGTCGTCAGCGATCATCTGAACTGAGAACGGACAGAATCGAATTTCACACGCATAACGGTGCTGATCAGCCGTCTAACTGTTGCAAGGCGGCTAACTCGCGTGAGAACAAAATATATTAATATAATGAATTACGAACGTTAAAAAAATCAAAACTATTTCATTGTTTTTGTTTGTATAGAACTCTCCCATTTACGGTATTCTTAACATTTTTCCAACGGTGCAGCCAATGTCCGTCAGATACCCGCGGGTCACGAAGCCGCAGTCTGGGCTACACTGTCTGACGATTGTATTCTTACCATTAAAAATCTATGACAATCCCGGTCTGGAATAGATATTATTATTTTTTTTTTTTTTTGCTTCCAGCTGCCCCGGAAAACAAAGCGAAAACTCAGTGGTTGTTTTCTTCAAGGAGTTGTATAATTAATTATTCATAAATACCGTTATTAACACTATAAATTTAATTGACCAGACGAATAATTCGAGTTATAAACGTACGACTTAAGATATAATTATAATTATTTAGATACAATAAAGATAATGTCTTAAATCATGTTTAAACCTAAGGGCGCGACTAAAAATACCATCAGGGGGGCAATCAATTATCAAAACATAATCAGTGTTATTTTTTAAGTGAATTTTGTCATTTTTACACATGTCAAATTTTTTAGTCTTTAATTATAACCTAGGAGGTAAATACAAAAAAAAACATGATATATTAAAAATTATACTCTCAAAAAAAAATCTAAAAAACTGTGTCATTAAGTAAGAAATAATCATTTGAATACATAAGAACATAATTTTAAGAAAATAAAAATTTGAAAAGTTATAATCAATATTGGGTCATATTAGGTTAAGTTAAGTACTTCTTACCAATGGCGTATACAGAAAATATTTTTGGGTAATATGAATTAATATGAATCAATTAAAAATTCGATCCAGGCTAATTTTTCTACTAATTTCAGAATACATTCAAGGACCAAAAGTTATCCAATTTAAGAGATAAGTGTTCAAAGTTCCATAGTAGAGTTAAATAATTAGAAGGTATGTAACCGAGTATAGATAGTATAGATTTATCGAAATCTGTAAATCAATGTAATGAACCAAAAATAGGACTTAAGGATGATTAAGGTTTTTAACAATAAATTACCTAAAACTATAAAATACTAAAAAACTAATACTAAAATACTAAACCTTAGTATTGTGGTTAAGATCTTTTAGCAAGTATAGAATATCGAGATCAATCCTGCAGTGCCTTAGCCCAATATTCTTTATATACTAAAATCTGTATATTATTATGATTAGAGCCAGTGGCGGCACGAAATATTTTATAGCTTGTAAAAAGAGCTCCCCCCCCCTATTTGTTCTACATGCTACATACCCACTCGATACCCAATGGTCAATACCCACCCAACTATCCACCCAGTGACTTGAATCCAGGGACTCAAAAATCTGCCGTCACGCCACCACTGATTAGAGCTTTAGGGAACATGAGATTAACTCGGAGACAAAGTATAAGTGCTGCTTTAAGTTATCGGAAGTTCTAGGATATTTTTATATTTAAATGTATATTGTTGTTCCACTTACCTTTTCTATTTGAATAGTAGCTTGTAGTTTAATGTATTAAGATCTTATCGCTGAAAGTCCGCAGGACAAGATGGTAATATTCTAGTGACCCGGAAAATGTCTCGTGATCAAGGGATCAACTTGAACACAAGAATTATGGTGTTTTATAGACTAACGAATACATCAAGTACACGAAAGTTACGGTTAAGAATATTTGTCAGATTTTTTTGATATTATTTAATAGTATTTTTCGTTATTCTAGTCAGAGACTGAGACCTTAATGGTTTTAACGGTTTCGGCAAGGGTTCGGGTTTTTAAAATATTTTTTTAGGGGTTTAGATTAAATTTCGGGATTTTAAGAGTTTTAAAATTTAGGTTTCGGTTCCAACCGGTTTCTAACCTTTATTTTTGTACATTATTTTTTTTAAACTAGAAATTTTAATACAATATATATTGTATACTATTGTTTAGTATTTGCAGGCGCTGATTAAAGTGTTCATATTAATATTAATTTTAACCTCGGGTATAGAAAAATAAAAGAATTTCTCATGTGCTTTGATAAGAGATGTGTTAATCTGGGTAGATCTTTTTGTTTTTGTATCTTTAACCAGTATCTCCTCATATATATCCTGGTGGAAACTCAGGTGCCTTTTCAAATTTGTTCCATGCTTTCCCTTTTAAAATTATAGGTACATATTTATAAATATTTATATAATATCTGATTACCTAACTATATCAATTAGATTAGATCGAGTTTGTACTGCCCGTGGTAATCTAACGCCAACTAATTTATCCAATACGGCTACTCTTTGCGGCGAATTTGAAAAAAATACCAGTATTTCTGATAAATTTGAAAAAAATATCCGAACTTCTTTATTTTGAGATACTGATTATGTCATAATTAAGTTTAACTGGTGTGCACAGCAATGAATATAATACGCATATGGGTATAGTTCCTTAACCCTAACATTAACTCCACTCATGACTGCCGCACCATCATACTATTGTGCTATTAGTTTATTCGGAGTATTTTTTAAAATAGGATTTATTTCAGATAATATTGTTGATGTTAATGATTTTGCATTGTGTCCATCAAGATTTCAAAACCCCCAAAAACGTTCTACTGGTTGACCTTTAAGTTCACAGCGAAATACAATAACTAACTGAAACATATTAGAAATGTCAGTAATCTCATCGACGATTATAGAAACAATTTGAGCAGCTTATATTTCTAATAAAATTTGTTTTCTGGTTACAAGTAATATACAATCTAACAAATTATTCTGTATTGTTTTAGATGTCCCTTTAAACACTTATGAATTTTCAAAATGACTATGCAAACTTACATCTAAGTTTTTACATAACTCAATAACACCGATGAAAACACCTTTATTATTAGTGTTAATTTTTTCATTGTGACCTCTTAATGGTAAATTATGTTGTCCACAAAATTTTATACAGTTCAGAATATTTTCTAATATATAACGATTTTTATCTATTCCTTCATTATGACGTTGAATCCTAATTTTATAGCCCGAGTCAATTTTATCGAAAATATTGATAGTACCGAGTACATTATGATTAGCTTCATTTTGTAAGTTTTTAAAAGAATTCTCGTGTTTTTTAATTTTTTCTGATAAATGACCCGAATGTGTTATACCTGTTTTAGTCCAAGAAATATCACCCCCAAAACATAAATAAGGAAAACAATAAACATCTAGTTTTATATCACAACCACATAACCACTTGTGTTTTGCTTAATAATCCGTATTAAAATGCCGAATATATTCATTTTTACTTTTTTCGCTTTATTGATCAATCCTTTCAATTCAGGTGTAGGTCTTCCAAGCTGTTTATTGTAAAAAAAAATTGTGACTAACGATTATTGATATTTTTTCATCGTCGTTAGGAATACATATGAGTATTATTGTATTAAATGTTCAGTTCTTTATATTCAAAGGTTAAAATTATACGTAGCAAAAACTCACAAAAAACGAAAAATTACCAAATTTTACAAAGTGCTATATTTAGCTCAAAATTGGTTAAATGTTTTTGAAATTTTTAATGAATATATGTGTGAGGATTTTTAGTAGTTGATAAAAGTTTAAAGTTTCTAGTACCATTATTGATGGAGTTATGGCTAAAAAACTAAAATAGATTTCACGAAAATCCAGAATATGGCATTTTCCCCGTTTTTGTCAGTTTTTCGGTACTTAACGCCTACGCATGGAAAAACTATTGAGAAATTCGAAAAATGACTTCTCAAAAGTACCATCTTGGGATTTTTTCCTATTTAGAGAGTTGCTGGATGAAACTTTTGGTCCAGTATATCTAACCAAAAAGTGTTTTCATACATGAAAAAAAAAATAAAAAATAAAAACACACGAAATTTTAAAACCAATACATTCTTTGTTTCACTCAGAATCTAAAATGGATAGTGTAAAAGGAAGGTTCAAAAAATAATGATTGTCCAACAAATAATAATTGATGTTATATTTAAACTCAATAGGTACTAATTTTACATGTGAATTGTAATCACTAATCAGTACCTATAATAGTATTAATGTTATCACACTGTGTATTGTTTTATATAGTTAAATTAAAATAATAATATTGCTATCATAGAACTTTTGAAACTTTTATCATTATTTAATTAGGTATTGAAAAAGTTTTATATTATAATTATTAATAGTTATATTATAATACCTACTGTAATTGTGTAAATCACAAAGATTAATAATTAACCAAGACCACTGTTAAAGTACTCTTCAAATTGAATATTTAGGTAGGTTTACAATATTACTTGAATAAACAGTGTACCTTCCTATAAAATATAGTAGTATAAGACATAATAATACACTAGTTACAAGGTTATTTTGATTTTTGCCTGACAATTACTATTTTTTGATAAATATTTGATTTTATATAATACATCATAATTCTATGATAACAATATTATTATTGATTATATAAACTATTTGGCGGTATTTTCAAATAAACCAATCGTAAAGCTTGATTTTAATACAGGTGCCGAGCTCATGTATATAATGCTTATATGCGCCCCGGCGGCAGCGTTATTACTGTGTCCCCCCTTCATAGTTTTTGTATTCCGATCATGCTTATAAAGAGCAACTTTTAACATCACCCAAGCATCGCATACGCTGTTCGCGGGTCCCGGCAAATTATTATCGATTATGGATTCTCAGAAGCTACAGTGTTGAATGATTTATTTTTAAACTCCTATTATCTGATAATGTTTTTATAATATTTATTAGTATAAATTTAGGAAATACAATTTTTATTTTTGACAATATTATGCTACAATATAAATTTGATATTAAACTCATAAATTAGTAATAAATGATAATTTTAGAAGAGGGGCGATCGCCCCATCGCCCTTATCTACGAGCCGCCACTGCTATTGAATAAAATAAATAATA